TACTCAAAAAAAAATTTTGCTCTCCGCTGAGTATTTTTCTTCTTCTTCATCTTCTTCTTATTTATTTATTTATTTATTTTTAAGCTACTGTCTCAGAGTGACCCTGAAACCTTAATAAAAGCACCTTGTCTTCAACATTCCCTTCTCTCACCCCTTCCCTTTTGTTGGGTCCCTCCCCTCTTCAAATATCCAGCAAACCTCCCCCCTCCTTCCCTCCCCACCATTATTAAATCTTCCTTAACCGGCAAACTCCCCCTCTCACTTCTCTTCCCTCAACTGTCTTTCTTTCCTTCTCTTAACATGGCCGGACCTCCTCACGACGCCGAGTTCTGGCTTCCGGCTACGTTTCTGACCAAGGATGATACACTCACGGTCATGGGTAGAAAAGAGACACTCAAGAACATGGAACGGAGAAGTTTCTTTGATACTGAGTTAAGGCCACTGAGTCATGGCTTCCCTACTGAGTTTCCTTACGAGTTTGACTCGCTGGACTCAGCTCTTATATCCCCGGTTGATTCTGTTGAGGGGTCCACGGAGACTGATAGCAGTGACGAGGATGAGTTCTTTGTAGGTTTGAGTCGCCGACTCACCCGCTCCTCGAGTCAGAAACTCCCCGTGCCGAGTCTCACCCGAGACAGGGCCGAGGTAACTCTTCCTGGGCTAATTTTTTTTGGGGTGAATATTTCCCTTCTTTAAGATTTCATATTAGTTCTTGTAAATTCGTTGGTTACTGAGTTTGTCTCTCATTTGCGACTCAGAAAACCGGGGTCATGGCGAGTTCGCCGCAGTCTACGCTGAGTGAAATCGGGAGCTGGTCGGTGTCCGGTAATCAGAGCCCGAACAGTTCCTCCCAGGTTCCATCTCCTCCAACGACACCGTTTGGTGCCCAGAACGACGCTTGGGATCTGATATACGCAGCTGCCGGGCAAGTTGCGAGGTTGAAGATGAACGGCGAAGCACCCAAATGCAACAACAGTGCTCTCTATGGAAGAGCCCTTTCTCGCCCCCAAAATCAGTTTCCCACAAAGAACCAACCGGCCCCCGGGCTGTATTCTAACCAGAATCTCGCTCATAATCTTTTTCAATCGAATCAGGTAAGGTTATTGTCCTGTGATTTTGTCCTGAACGCATCTTTGCTTCTAGAAAGCAGGGAGCTTTGTTTTCCCCTGTTCTGTCTCATGGATATGCTTGATTTTTGGCAGTATCAGCAAGCGAGGCAGGACCAGTTGGTTAAGTCCCAGTGTGGCGCCGTCTGGGGAAGGCAAGTGAGGCCAAACTGGCAGGCGCAGACCCAATATCAACAACTGCAGATCCAGGGCAGAGCAAGGAGTAATGTTGGCGGTTGTGAGAATGCAAGATGCGGTCGCCTTCTGAGTCTGCATCAGTCTTCATGGCCTGCTGTTCAGACCCCATCTCAGCCCCAACAGCATTCCGGCTCCGGCATGCGTGCGGTGTTCCTTGGTGGATCTGGTGGTGTCAAGAGAGAATGTGCTGGTACTGGGGTTTTCTTACCCCGCAGATATGGAAACCCTCCTGAAAACCGCAAGAAATCAGGTATTGGAAGTGGGTTTATAAATTTGGAGAGTCTCTTTTTTCTTTTTCTTTTTTAATTTTTTTTATGTCCTCGCTATATTTATTTACAATCGCTCCTAATTCTACCATGTATAGGTTGCTCAACAGTTCTACTTCCTGCGAAGGTTGTACATGCCCTAAATCTGAACCTGGATGAAATCAATAGTCTTGCTCAGCCATACATGACCACTGGTTATGCTTCGAATCAAGGTAAGGTTTGAGATGCTTTTCTTTTCCCAATTTTGCCTCGAATTGATACTTGTTTTTGCATGTTAAACTCATTCCTGACTTTGAATCTGCAGATTCGATGATGGCCAAAATAAATGCTGCACTGTTAGCACAGCAGAAGTTCAGTTACAGACCAGAGGGGAGGGTAAACCAAGATTTACTTCTTCCTCAGGAATGGACATATTGAATTCCATCTGAAAGTGTTTGTTTTTGGTGTTGATGGAGAATTGTAGTTCTAAATAGGTAGTTTATTTATGGATGATAGATATATGGTACGGTATTTTGGTTATAAATGGGGGTAATGGATTCTTCAGTAATGTGTGTAGTGTAGGAGCAATAAGTATTAACAGATCCTTGGCTTTTTTTTGAGGAGATTGCATTGCTGTTTTTGGGTTAAGCTATATAGTTCATGTAATATTAAGAAGAAATAGGAAGGAAATGGTATCTTTTTGGATGTAATAAGTGGGGTGGCTTTTCTTCAAAATTAGGAGGTTTTTGATGGGTAAATGAGGAAAATCCCCCTCTGCTTGTAATATCCCCATTAATATTTAATAAGAAATTATATTTATTAGTATCATTTTTAAAATTTTTGTTCATTCAATTAATTTTTATGTCTGTTTTGGATTATACCAAACATTAGTTCTGAATAATAGGAAAGCTAATAAAGATTGAATTGCATGATATATATATATATATTGAAATCTTGAATCATTTGTGATACTCTTTCAAAGTCATGGAAATTGCAAAATGGAACCCAACTAAGATCAATTGTGTTTTATTTAACAAAAAGAATACCCAGAAGCGGAAAGCAGGTTAAAGCCATTGAAATGGTGTGGGATTTGGGTGGCTTTAGCCTTTATGAAATTATGAGCTCCTTTTTTGTACTGTGCCTTGGCAAATTGTTGAAAAAGGCAGAAGCTGCTGTGGGTTACCAGAGGATTATTGCTTTATTAAAAGAAAGTGTTTGTGAAAAGAAGGAATTACTTCGGCGTGAAGCAGAGGCGGTGGGGGACCCAACCAAATTGGCCGTACGTTCTTCTTCACTTGATTTTGATGGGACCCATCGCTTGCTGATATATACATAACCCTACTTTTATCTTCATTTCTTTTTTTATAATTTTTTTTTTCTAAAAGAGCGTCTGGAGAGAAAAAAACATTTTCGGCATCGGTAGCTGTGATTTTCGGTACTGCTGCTGCCTGCAGTATTGTATTGACTCAGTCAAATTCTCTCTCTTATTTTTTATTAAAAAAAAAATTTTAAATTACAATCGTGGACTTAGGAATTATAATATTTTAAAAAAATATTTTATAATTTAAATTATATTAAACTATAAAATATAAATTATTAAATAAAAATTAAATTCGAACGACCTATTTCGATTTAGTGACATTGAACTTTGAGTTAACGTTGTTCATTTTTGTGGGTTACACATTCGAACTTTATGGAAATTTTTTTTTTCAATTAATTCTGTAAATAATTACAAATTATTCAAATAAAATAAAAATTAAATTCTTTTCATACT